GAGCATCCTGAAAGCATTAACATTCATTGATTTGCAATTTTAAATATAAGTTAAGACAAAAACCAAATTCAATTTGAACATGTCTTGCATGCAAAATACGTTGCCCAAGTCTAAATTTTAATTTAATTAATCTTACTAATAAAAGTTTTGGACCCCGGATGTAGTAGGAACTTGTACATTTGTCTTTTGAGCTAACCAAAGGAACTCTCGACAGTCCTTCACGCCAATTTGAGAAAATGCATTTACTAATGTAGTGATGAACCGTGCCAAATTGGCCTTAAAATCCTGTAAGAAGATCTTATTACATTCGTCAACATCTTGAGCACCTCCTTTGACAATACAACCCACTTGAGCGCCTTCTATGTAGGCTTTACATGTTACCAGAATATCACGAGAACGATTGTAAAAATGTTCTACCACAAAATTCTCGAAGTGCTACGAGCAACATAATACAAAACTCAAATCAACATATAATGAAGTTGTTACTCAAAAGGAAAGAATAAATTGAAATTAACCATGAAAACATGCAATGATCAAAAGGCCTAATAATACCAGTATTACATTGAGATGATCTCAATTTTATGTTACGTTTGGTGGCTGCCTCATACTGTACACCATCATTTGGAGAGAATGGATAAAAGTATTCTCATTGTATGTCAGTGAACACTTTTCTCCACTCGTTGAACCACTCATATTTGCACGTCCAGACTCATTAAACTATGGCTTAGCATTCAAAAGTAGGCCTTGTATAAAGACCAAAACATGTAACATAGTTGATATATCATGGATCCACTTCTACTTCTGACTATAACTCTAAATGTTGAGAAGTCTTAGGCATACTTTGCCACAATTGTACGAGTTTTGATTGATGCGAAGTCTACCAGAGTGGTAATGGACTTGCTGCAATAACAAGTGAGTTAGAATTAATGGAAGACAATGTATTGACATATTCGAAAGTGTACAAGGGGTTGGGCACAAAAATATCTAAAACATACAGGTGGAATATTGGGATTGCTTCCAGAAAATAAGATGTCGAAGAAAAAGAGACTACCATGGTATGGAGTTCATTCTACTCTTACTATTATAGCCCTCAAAAGATTCATTCTGAATTCATAGACACACATAAGTATGGTAAATATGGTATCTGATAGAGTGGCAACAAAAATATAGAAGGCGAGGAATGGATTCATTTGAACAAACTCAACAAAATGATGGTAACGCCAATAGTTTTAACAAAATGCACAGGGACTATAACTAAATTTGCTCAGATATCATCACAAATTGATCATGAATTTTCAGAGAGCTTACCAGGAAAACCAGGTAATATCTTGAAGTAAAAAAATATAGAGTCCATAAGTATGATTAGAAGCTCATAGACAAAATGGAAATGGCTGAAATTAAAACGAATTATGGTTAATGGGAAAATTCATACCATGCATTAATAACGATTAAACAAAAAAGTAATAATAACTAACCTATTATCAAGAGTACATGCACGAGAGTTTTTGAAGTTTTCTTAGCTATAGTTACTTCCATTATGTTTGTAACTTTAGAGTAACATGTTGCCATAAATCCAAATAAGTGTGAAAAATATGCACAAGTATCATAAATCCTGAAATATTTCAAAGCTAAATTAGTTATAGAAAAAAGAAATAACAGAAATCAGTAATATAATTATAACTATGAGCGACTAAGATATGTGATAAATACTTACGAAGAAGTTATATTTCTACAAATGAATGAATGAAAGAATTTCTCATTAGACAACATTCTTCGTACATGTACTGTGTAAATTGTCAACGCTTGATGGTTTTAGTAAAACCTTTAAAGATTTGCTTGTTTTAACTCTTGACAATGCTACATAAAGTTGATCATGACCGAAAACTGGTTCTCCTATATATAAACCAACGTAATCAAGTGTCCGACCTTGTGCTTTATTTATCGTCATTGCAAAACATGGTCTAATCAGAAATTGAGTTCTTTTAAAAGGAATTGAAGTTTGATTATTTTTCAGAGGTACAAAAGGAATTCTTGGTAAGAAAACATGTTTTTCACAATATTCACCAGTTGTAATTTCAGCAAAAATTACATTCTTATCAAATTTTCTACAAGTAAGGCGTGTTCCATTGCATAAACCTTCAGAAGGATTGATGTTCCGCAATAACATTATAGGACAGTTTATCTTAAACTTCAATTCATGAAGCGAAATACCATTTGGAGTCAAAGTATTCAAGAAATCTTCTTGTAGGCTCTGTTCTGATTTGTCAATTGCTTCATCAAAGCTATAATATGTGAAAATTGTACCAGGAATCTAATCAAGTAAAATTCTGTTAATATGATCAACACATTCATTTTTAGGCGTAAGAATTACTCAATTTCCCATCGTATGTAAATTATCAACATATGCTTCTATATTTGGAAAAACATGATTTATCAAAATTTTTAGATATGTAATTTCATCCTCAAATGGTACAATTATATTGCTCGAAAGCTCAATACAGTTACAACTATGTTCTTCCTCTGTTCCATTTCCAACTTTAAGCAAATAATCAGAAAATGTGGGATCCAATTTTGCTCGCATGTTCTTAATTAATGGCAGATGTGAATACGAAGGCCATAAGTTAGAGAATACTAAGCTAACTTTCATTATGTCTTCTTTTTTTCTTTTCGGTACCACTGGTAAAACTTGTCAGAAATCTCCTCCTAGAACGACCACTTTCCCACCGAAAGGTAAGTTACAATCAGGAATATCTCTGAGCATTTTATCAACAGTTTCAACGGTACAACGATTTACCATAGGTGCTTCATCCCAAAGTATTAATTTCGACATTTTTAATAAAGTGGAAAGCTGATTGTTTACTAACAGAACAGATAACTTCACCAACTGTTTTCAGAGGAATTTTAAATCTTGAATGAGATGTTCGACCTCCAGGTAAAAGAGTTGCAGATACTCCAGAAGATGCTGTAGTTAAAGCAATTAAATTTTGGGACCTTACACCTGTTAGGAGAGCTTTATATAAGAAAGTTTTGCCCGTTCCCCTTGGACCCGATAAAATAGATCCCACTCGATTTGGAATTTACGTTTTGCCCGTTCCCCTTGGACCCGATAAAATAGATCCCACTCGATTTGGAATTTACTTTTTCCATAATTGTATTGTACGAAACTGTTGCTCATTATTTAAGCTTGTTGTATAAGCATCACCTCCATCTATATCCAAATTTGTTATCTCCTCTGCAACTCTAGCTGCAATTATTTCTTTTTTATATTCATTCATTCTTTTTTATTTGTCTATTTAAAAATAAGGGGTAAATTAGTCATATTACAATGCTTTAATGGAGATAAAATGAAGAAAATAGTCTGTAAGGACCTTTTTGCTCAAAGAAAGATCGATCTAAAGGTTCAAATGCTAAAATTAAAAAGATATGGATGATTTGCGCAATGAAAGCAAACAATAGGTACATTTTACGTCAATTACCCATATTTAACTTAAGGAATTATCGGAAAGAGAATAAAAGAACCAACTTAGCACAAACATGTTAAAGTAAGGGTGTAAATGTCAAGTTTGAAATGATATGAACGATTTGCAAAATCAGAAACAATGAGAAAATTTTGTGCTAATTACCTACTTGACTATCTATAAACCATATCCTAACTGGATACCCAACTTAGAGATTTTACTAAAACATGACTTGCACTATAAAATCGTATCCCTTGTTTGGTTATCATTATTTCAAATCTATTTTTTTACATACTCGTTTTCAACCACATATTTACACAATAAAATATTATGTATGTAAACCCATAATTTTTTCGTATTTTTTAATCACACATTCTCTGAAAATGTACTATTCAAAATATTGTTTTTTCCAAATAATTTCCATCAAATTGGGGGCTAAATCTACTCGTAGTAATATTTCTCGATATTGCTCATATATTATTAGGCAGAAAGCAATGAGTAATATATAAGAACTTGGAAGAAAATATTTTTTGAATGTAACACAAGTCATTAGAACTACAGAAAATGCTTACAAGTCATCCTTCTTTCCAGATAAATAATTTCTCTAGGACTACCTAGCTAAACGAGATGGAAGTTAACCATAGGCACAATTTAATCATGTCTAGTAAGACTTTAAATAATTTCTTAAATTCTCTATTCCACACCAAATATCTCATCAAACTTTGTTTCTCCATCTTAACCAAGAAGAAGATCAATTTATATCTATGAAAAGACCACAAAAACAACACACTTTAAAGAAAAACCCAAATACATAATCAAGAATGATCAAAGCAAGTACCAATGGAAAATAAGTTAATTACTCTACAAGAAAATAGGTAATACCCCCACCATACAACAGTAGGTTACCTCACAAGTTCACATCACCAGATTTTTATTTCAAATCTTCATAATCCTACTTTACCAATTTCTCCGGCCAAATTCTTCAGCTGCGCCGTGCCGTTGTTGATCTGATCAAGGACAGAACACAATTCTGTAACTGGTGCCGGCGGGGCAAGTGCAAGTGCTGGTAGGATCATCTTCAGGATACGTGAAGGCATCCCTGCATCTACTCTTGAAAAACCTGGAGAAATTCGTCGGCAGACACCGCCCTGAGCCGCAGCAGTACTGAGTCGTCTTGAACACCGTGCACGGATTATGGCATCCGCCGGCAGTTTTCAATTCCTTCGGGCACTGTGCAGTAAGATCCGCCGCACATCTTATGCTCTTGGTGCATCCATTTGACGTAGGGGTCATTGACAACGGCACGTTAAACCCTTTCATCACAGAGATATCGTAGAAGTCTTTTCCGGCGAAGGAGTTCAGGCCGTATTCAGCAAAAGTCGCCGGTTCTGTACCTAAGTCTTTGCATTCAAGCAGGCCGCCACAGTCTCCGGTTAGGCACTTACCCTTACCCGATGAATCAAACGTGCAATTAGTACGAGCCCAGATTTTGGCTACCTTCGTTGAAGGGTAGCCGATTGTCCATGTTTGGCCACTATCAAGGCGGCGGCCTCCGCCGGGCACGGCGGCAGGCCAGACTGTGTAGGGACAGTTGTTTTGAACTCTGATTATTATCCCATGGCTGTGGATGACGAAGAGAAGCATAAAAATTACATAAAGGGGTTTGAAGAAACTCATATTTCGGAATTGGAATCGAGGTCGATCGAGAATGGAGAAATGTTTTGGGATATATAATGATGTGGTGGGTGGTGGGTGGAATTACGTGAGAGAGTTTAATGTGATTATTTTAGACATGTGAACACGATGAGAAAGACAAATCACATGGGATACAAATTTATAAATGGATTAATATTAAAGTATCTTGACTGTCTGACCTAACAAAGTTTTGTCTACATTGGATAACTGTTCGTTAAAAAGTGTTCATGAAAACTAGAGTAGGTTTTGGTAATTAAACTGTGTCCTTGTTTGATTCAATTAAAATAGTTGATCAAAATTTAAGTTAAAATTAACGGTCAATTTTAATCGCACATTTCATGAAATTCATAACATTTCAACCATGAATTTCATCGACTTTTATTAAAATTTACTAATTATTAGATTTTTGTTTAAACAAAAAAGGGACTCTGTTGAAACTCCCATCATTCTATACTTTGAAATAATATTACAATGAAAATTATGTTCATCTTTATTCTATGATCAAAGTAATAAATTGATCAACTCATTTTGTTCTTCAATCTTTCAGTGTCATAGTAATGAGGGTGAAGATCAGGCGTGTGTGATAGTTGTAGTGGAATTGTGGCAAGAGGAGTTTATCTTGAAATTAGATAGTGTAAAAAAATATATGAGAGGTAGCTTAGCAACTCGAAGCCAACCCTAGTTGAAGATGGTCCGGTTCGGTTCGGTTCGATTCGATTCGATTCGATTCTCCAACCCTAGTTGAAGATGATGTTTTAAAAGTTGAGCACAAATATATACTGCAATTATTCAGCTCTTGTTTGAAATCATTTTTACAATTTTTTTTTATTAAATTCATTTTCAACCACGTATTTTTACAATAAAATATTTTGCATATAAATCCAAATTTTTTCCTATTTTTTAACAATACATTCTTCAAAAAGTCATTATTTCAAAATTCATTTTCTTCAAAAAAAATAAAAAAAAAAATTTAACAATGGTCAAACAAGGACTTGTCGACTAACGAAATTTTTAACGCCAACTTTCGTTCTATCAAATTTAAAGTATACATAAACGCGAAAATTTCTAAAGCATGCCGTATTGCCGTGTATCCAATATAATAAATAACAATATTTTTGACACAAATGGCAATAGTTTAATTTCGTAAAGCAATGGGGGAAGCTGTGATATTGACATATTCGAATTATGCTTCGAGAACTTAATGGGACCCGGCGGCTAGTCAATGCTGCCAAGATTCATTGTAATTTGTATATAAATAAATAAATGAGAATAAATGTTTGTTACTTTCGCAGGCTGTGTTTGAGAACTACATGTGAGTGTTTGGTGTAGATTAAAATCAGATTTTAAGTGAATTGTGATAGAAGTTTTTGAAACGTGTGGTTGGAAAGATGTGGACCCATGAAAGATGTGATTGATATTGATTGTTTGACTTTGATTTAGATTAAAATCTGGTCCAAACAGGCCCTATATGTTTAAAAATCTTTTGAAATGAAAGTAGCTCGTAGACACGTGGTGTTTTATGATTGGTTTTTTTTTTTTTTTTTGCAATATTTTGCAAGAATTTCAGCTCAAAAATTGGCCTGAATTCATTAACACGAAGGATTTTGTCTGGTTTAGTACGACAAACAAAAGTCCAAGATATGAGAAATATATGGATTGCTTTCAGTGAGAACAAAATCTTTGAATGTGGAAAAACGATTCAGCCCTTGTTCATCTTCCATTTTTTCAAACAACCACGCTACAATTTCAAATAGATTGACAAAACATGGATTAAGCTATGGGTACATAATGATACCCATAATGTTTCACATAGAGCTTGTCTGAGAATGATTAAAATCCAATTAAAATTGGAAATATAGTCGTTATTGGGTCCCACTCATTTAATAAAAGTCAACTCCAACAGCTATATTTTCAATTTTAATCTGATTTTAATCCCTCCCAAACAAGATCATAATGTGTTAGATGATATTCTATCATTTGATTATTTAAAATACATTAAGCATTTTCGTTCAATTATTTGTTGTCGCTTACAAATCTGTCATTGCATCTATCAAAATCATTTTGGCAAAGTGGCCCAATTCTTTTTCAAAACTTTTTTTTCTACATATTTATTTTCAATCACACATTCACATAGCAAAATATTCTACACGTAAATTCAAAACTTTTCTTTATTTTTTAACTACACATTCTAAAAAAATTCACCATTCAAAACAAATCTTTTAAAAAAAATTGCCATCAAACATAAGCTTAAAGCTTGTTTGAACTCTTTTTTTTTTTTTTTTTTTTTT